CACATGTGCTCCAAAGAACGTTTTTTTTTAATCCAAAGCACAGCATGTATATTCTGCTATTTAAACTTCATTTACTATAGACGTACGCTGTTTTTAAAGGATGGTTTGGACTCAGGAAGAGTTGCTTTCCAGCTCTCCTCTTTGCAGATGTTGTTGGTGGACTGTTAGGATCCCCTATATAAAAACCCTGGCTCGGTCCTGCTTCCCTCCTACTCCCATTCCCACTCCGCACTTAGACAAAAAGAGAGGAGATGTTTACCAAGTTTTCTAGCAAAGATCTCCAGATAGAAGTTGTGGGGCTGCCCCATTTCCTGTTCTCAAGCTGCTCATCAGGGGCCATGGCTTCTGTGAGGTCAGCCTGAATTCAAGACTGATGGCCAGTTGAGAAGAAGGATGAGAAATACAGATGCCTTTCACTCTGCTTTCCTTCTGCAGAACATCCTGAAACGAATTCCACCCAGGGCTGATGAAGAAGTCCAAGCCACACAGGCGTATGATGCTCTTGAGAAGGTAAAAGGCTCTCAGAATCTGTTTTTCAGACCTCCATCACCTCTCCCCTCCTCACACAAAAATGTCCCTTCAGCTCAGAAGCTGAGATATCCAAGGTTTTTGAGGAGTTTTTCCCCCCTTTTTGGAATACAGAAGAATGATAATGAACTGAGCAATCCCTCTGTAGAACAGGAATGGAGAGGAAACCATTCAGTTTGTATCTGAATGCAAATGTATTTAATTATTATTTGAACAAACCAACGGATAAAACAAAACATACATATTCTTAAACTTGGATAGCTCTGAAAATTTTTCAGTACAGTTACTTAAAAAAAATGTATTAGGGGAAATTTGTACAAAAAGGCCTATATTTGTAAAACAAATATGTACAAAAACATATTATAGGAAGAAAAACTGTTTGCCCAAACTACAGGCATTAGGCATAATTGGAAACAAAATGCATGTTTGGAGAATGAATGAATGAATGAATGAATGAATGAATGAATGAATGAATATACAGATTCATTCATTTAGTTTAGTGTGAATAATTAAAATATCTATGTTCAATGATCTGAATTTGACATATTTCCAAAAACATGCTAATGAGAAAATTAAATTTAATGCATTTGCAGATATGGGAAACTGGTAGTAACCAACATGATCAGAGATTTATTGATTTATTATTCATTTAGTAAATCAATTTATTGGCCATCCATTTCGTGAATGCAACTCTGAAAGGCCAACAATATAATAATAATAATGATTAATTAATTATTAGTAATAATAATAAGTTAAGCCTAGGATAGGCAGATGTTGTTATTTGACGGTGTCTTACATCCTGTGATGATACCTTTACCACCATGAAACAACAACATCTGCCTATCCCAGGTCCTTGGGAAGGACTCGATAGGTGGATAAAAATGCCACATCCAGTCTAAACATCTGGCTGACTGTGTGACCAACCATAAAAAATTAGCAAAGAGATGCCCATTCCTCCTTCAGAAAAATGGAACTAACCCTTCATGTTGCCATCGACTTCCTAATGAAGATGGAACCAGCTTCAGTTCGTTTCTGTGAGGCTTTCCTCTTTTAGTTTTGATGGGAGGTCTTCAGTGGGCTGGGCACTTCCTTGAGTTCTCTACAAGAAAACATAATGTGATAAATATATAAATAAATAAATATCTCAATTACTCCGTCTGGGGCTACTTCAAATGGTTCACCCCTAAAGGCACAGCACAGTGCAGTGCAATGCAGCAGAAATGAGGTCCTGTGCAAAGGATTTTTACATCCAAGAAATATTTCCCTGGCTTTTTCTTGCTGGATCTTGGCAAGTGATGCAGTTCTATTGATCATCATCATTTTCATCACTCCAGGTTTACCCGAAAGAATGATAACACTGAATTTACAATAACCAACCCTCCCTCCCCAGGAAGCGTAGACAATTTTTCTCCATTTTCCTATTCTGATGGCGCTTTCCTCTCTGCAGCTTATCAAAGATTGCAATGAAAATGTCCAGCGTATGAAGAGCACTGAAGAATTAATTCACTTAAGTCAAAATATGGAGTTTGAATGCAAGGTAAAAAATATTTCTGCAAAGAATCTGTTTTTGAGTAACCTGTCTTCTAGACATATATTCTCCCTCATACCCCTGCCCAAAGATTTCCAGAACTCATTGAACACTAACATCCTTCTAACTTTTGTTTCAAGCAGAATTCCCATGACCACAGTGGTAGATGGGGGCTAAGCCACTGTCCCCAAATGCAGTATCTAAGTTCCTGGTTATCATCAGGGAACAGATGAATTGTGGAGGATACCAAGAGGTGCCCATGAAGTCAACAAAGTTGAGCTCAACTTGTAGGAGACTCTACTAATTGTTGCAAGCTTTGGGGCTTCTTAAAAAAGGCTGCAAAATCACTGTGTCCCAAGTGGCCTTATTCTCTCAAGAAAACATGAGTCGCTCTGAATCCATACAGATCATTTCCTTCAGCAGAAGCAGTTAGCCATCTTGAGAATAGATGTGGTCATCTAAAGTCATCCAAGCAGTCTGTATGGAACTGGTTTCGTTTCTCATAAACAGTCATATTATTCTAAGCTTCATTAGAGCCCCCTTCCTAATTCCAGATCTTCCACTGCTGCTGGTTGATAACATGAGATCCAGAGTGTGACCCGCAGAGCAAGTAGGGTGCATAATCTTTTAGGAAAGCTCCTTGTTGTCATGGAGACGTGAAATCTTGATCCCTCTCTGACAGCTTTCTTGCGTGCTGAGTCATCTCCCTTGTTCAAGGCAAGGGCTGATGAATGTGTACGAATAAAGTATAGATCTGAAAATTAATGCTTTAACAATGAAGCTGTTTAAGTTTGAAAGTGAACGTGGATTGAATGATTACAAGTTATACATGCCTAGTGAAACCTTAGACCAGTGTTGTCCAAACTTGGCCGCTT